ACAACCAATTTGAAAGCAAAATGACTTCTTCTCAAGGTGAACAATCAATGCATGCTGATAAATTATTTCTTGAGATCTAGCTTGAAATAATGCATTCACAGTAACAGAGTTAAAATCTTTAAAAAAAATTATTTTTGCTAAAAAAAAATCAATATGCAAAACTATCTAAGTCAAGTCCCCCTACTAGTATTGAAGCGGATTCAAAACAAATATATATATATATATATATATATGTATATATATTATCACAAAAATCAATCAAAATATCTTCAATATAATCCACATGCCTTCACTAACACAAATAACAAGGAGGGGTGCCATATAACATTGCGCAAGATCCAAAATAAATGGATAAATACTCTCCCACATTTGAGAGGCTAATATTTCACCCATAAAGTAATATCCATCAAAATGACTTTTCATTTCGACGTCTAAAAATATGTGTGTCTATAGTATATATTTGAGCCACACTATTTTCTCTTGTTTTATCTTTCAACAGACTATACAAATCAGTTCATGAAGAAGTTTTTGTACCCTACTCATTAGTTTCAAAATCTTAAGTGATTTTTTTTCATAGTTACATTACTAATAACATCCATTAGAGAATTGCTAATTAATTTATAAGTGCAGTTTGTGCAATTTGTATTGTATTAATGCAATTTCAGAAACAAGAAAATTCATAAAATGTGTCTCTCTTTCATACCTTCCAGCCTGAATTTATCAAGTGTACTTTTAATTTCCTTTTCACATGAAAACAAAATAAAACTATAAATAAGTTATTGCTCTAGACAATATGAAAAGACTTTATCAAGGGTTTTACTCAAATAAAATTAATTAAAAGTCAGTTTATAAACTACCTCAATATGTAAATTGACACTTTGGTTTCAAGTAATGAAATTGGCTAGGGAACACCAAATTAGATAATATGTTGTCAAGTCACTTTTCTTTTTAAAAAAATAACTAGAAATCCTGAACTACAACACTGTTTCAACATTTTCATTTTAAATATACAATAGGAATATAGTGATTCAAATTAATGGCTTCTAAATACAAGACACCATGGCAGGTTGACAGGTTCTACCAAATAAAGTTAAAAGTATTCTCTTCCCTCGCTATAAGATTTAAAATTCAATCTATAACAAATCTTAAATGAATCTCAACAAAAAAAAACCAATAGAAGCAAAGACAAAAGTTGTGACATAAACTATGTAGCCTCATCTTCATACCAATCCTCTAATATTGATTAATTGAGCAAAAGCCAATTATTTATAAAGTAGGTATAAGGCTTGGCTTTGCTGAACAGACTCGAACCAACCGAAAGCTCAAAACTCTAGACCCACTAATAAGGGAATCTACAATATCTCTAACTTTATATGCCTTATAATGATTAATCAAACTTTGGTGATGCATAATTAATCAATATCTCTTGAGCAACATTGTAAACAATTGTTACTCAATATTCATGCATCTCATTGATAATATAAGTAATCATCTAAATGTTGAACAAGTGCAGAGGAAATTTTAAGCTTCAATTTCTCCAGTTTATTAGGTACAGTTTACTCAAAGGACATTACACAGTTTTCTAAATTGTCACCAAAGGAGCTGATTATGGCCCCAACATTCTCAACAACAGCCATAATCGAAGACATACTACTAGTTTAGTATAGAAGATGATGATTATCCTAGAGAGCTCTCTCTCTCTCTCTCTCTCTCTCTCTCTCTCTCTCTCTCTGTTCCTAATGAACTAATGGCAGAGATGGGTTCTCATAAAAGCTGAAACTCATAAATTTTCTACTACAAGTAGCCAAGAAGTAACACACACAAAAAATAAACATGATTAGGGTGGATTACCTCTAGCTGATGGCCGATAAACAACAAAGATGAGAAGCAATGTCTGGCCAAAGTTACAAAGTAATTACAGCAGAGAGTACACAGAGAAGAGACAGAGAGTGGTGTACAAAGATAAGAAGAGATAGAGATGAGAAGTGGTGAGTGGCGCTAGCAATGGTTAGGGCAGAGAAGAGACAGAGCTTTCCTTCGATCAATCAAAAACATTCATCGCTAGGGCAGAGAAGAGAATAAGCAAGCCAATTCCACAAGCCAAAGTCATAAATTAAAGAAGGGTGTTTCAGTCTTTTCCTGTTATATCAAAATGCCACTTAAGGTCTCTAGGACTTTATTAGCTTTTTAAAATTACTTGAGACTTGACTGGATTTAATTAGTCTCTTTGGGACTTAATTGTCATTTTTCTAATGGCATTTAGAGTGGAAATTAATAGAAGGACTGTTGTCTCTTTGTTTTTTTTATAGAAAGGCGAGCAGAAGCTCGAAAGAAAAATAAGAGTAAAGAACAATCTAGGCCCTATTAGCCATATTTGACATAAAGAGATGCCAATCTTCCTTAACTAAAGCTAAGTAGCTATCAGGTGCTGATGGGAGTAAAAAAGTTTCAAAACAAGATCCACAAGCTTCATTAGCAAGTAGGTTAGCACATTAAAGTGCTTCTCTGTTGTTATGGTGAAGTTCAATATCCCACTCATCGTAAAGCAACATTCTAATGTCTTCAATTTCATATCAAAGAGGATGATCGAGACCACTATCTCGTGATAGGATATTTATTGCTTCCAGAGAATCTGAGAATAATTGGATCTTAGTGAGCTTAAGTATTTTACATACTTCAAGTCTTGTCTTAATAGCAAGGATTTGAGCAATAGTAGAAGGATTAGTTCCCAAACTTCTTTTGAAACCAAGAACCTATTCTCCTTTATCATTTCTAATGACACCACCACAAGCTACTTGCATGTTGCTTCAAACAGAACCATCTATAACAATTCTCACTGTACCGGGTAGAAGGGGAGTCCATAGAGTTGATGTGGGAGAGTTAGTTACAAAAATACAATGTTTAAGCTTGTCAGTGTAGACATCTTCCTTAAGCTTGTGTAAACAGCTATGAATGATCTCCTTTGGTCGTGAACTTTGCCTTTAAAGACATGCTTGTTACCTTTGTGGCAAATCACATGAGAAAAAAGAAGATAAATGGATAGGATTAATAAAAGCCTTCCATACATATTTAGCTCACTCACAATCGCAAAGGAGGTGTATCACACTTTCCTCACTCTTACACCCAAAGGGGCACTCATTAGTGTTTGAGAAGCCTCACTTGGATCAGAAAGAGTTGATTATTAATCTCTCATGGACAATTTGCCACATAAAGAATTAAACTTTCTCAGGGATTTGCCAATGCCAGATTTTACTCCATGCTGGGTTCACATTTGTGTTGCTAGGATTGGTAATAAAGTTATAGGCACTCTTGACAGAAAATCTGCCATCTGATGATGTTCTCCAACAAAATAGGTCTTGTTGAGTAGTAGAAGGGGGTTTAAAATCTTTGAGATTTTGGAAGGACTTTTGTCTCTAACAGAGTAAATTGCAAGGGCCCAATAAAAAGAAAAAAAAAAGCTAAAAGGACATAATTTAAAATTTGATGAAATTATAAGGACTAGTGAATTAATTTTCCCTTAGTATTAGTAAGACTGAATTTGGCTTCACTCGTTTGTGGAGGAAAGGTATTAATACTTTTTTTTATTCAATCAATCAAACTAATCCAATCCTGTTGTATGGTAATGTTTTTGTTAATGGCGATCTTATGTGGCCCTCAAAGATGTTTTGAAAATTTTTATTATTGCAGTTGCATATTTTAGTACTTCATAAAGTATTGGTATTATTACCCTTCAAATGTTTAACTAGAGCAAAGTCACATAACATGAGTTTGAGTTCAATTTTCCACAAATATAAATATAATTTTATCAATATATATATATATAAACAAGGGATAAAGCATTAAGTTTACTTTACATTATATTTATGTTTATATTGAGTGGAACAGTAGAATTAAATGTCAAATTGGACAGCTTGACCCCCCCAACAAAAAAAAAATCAAATTAGACAGAATTCTCTTCCAATGCAAGTTTTTCTGCATATAACTGATGATAATGGATTTCAAGGTAGAAAAATAAATATTTCAAGCATTAGTTATATAAAGATTTTGATGCATGAAATTTTTTTAGACAAAATGAGTGCATTACGTCATCAACGATCCATCCAATAAAATTACACTAATTCAATCAAATAAAATTTTATGTGTCATTATTTTTAATGATTTTATTTTTATAATAAAATGCTTATTTAATTTATTATTTTTCTCTCTTTATTACTAATATCAAAATTAATTTATATTTAATGATATTTGAATATTATTTTTATATTAGATGGAATATGAATGATATAGTGCACCTGATCCATCAAAAAAATTCTCTATGATGCATAAAAATGAAGAGATTTTAGAGGGAAAGTTCCATTTCCAAATTTACCAACAAATGTATTTGATTCCCACCCACCCTTCCTTTTCTCATATTTACTTGTAGTTTAAAAATTTTAGATTATTGGATATTTGATAATTTTAGAATTGAAATTTTAAAATAGGATAAAAGAATTTTCAATTATATTTTTATTCCATTGGTAATATATAATGGAAATCAAATAAATAATACGTTAAAATATTAAATTTTATTATATAAAAATATATTTTACAAATAATAAAATTATTATTATACATTTGAAATTAACAATTTTTTCCTTCTATTTGCTATTTCTTGCACAACCAAAAACCAAGTATGACAAGAACCAAAATTGTATCCGTCCATTTTTCTCTTTTCTCTCTAAGCCAAGAACTGCCTAAGAAATCAAACCATGACGGAAAAAAAAAAAAAAAAAACATGCGCCTTTGGGATTGCAATCTCACACTAGTTTAAATTCTTAACTCTGGGCCATGAATGAAATTTCGGATCACTTACGTATCATATGAAAATATATTTCATCATTATTTCATAACAAATTATATTATTCAACATAACAGCTTTGAGATCTTTAAAATCTCAATAGAAAAAGCGAGTCCAATCACATTAGACAACGGCTGAGTCCACAGATATTAAATCCTTAAGATATCAGCAAAGAAAAAAATAAATAAATTTACCAGTTATAATTTAAACGGTTCAATTTACAGACACCATGTGAAAAAGTCGTATTACAACTTCACAAAGTTGGGGATAATCATCATACATAATTGGAAACTTCTAGACTTCAGATTCTACTTCACAAATTCGAAGTTGAACAGAAGGAAAAAAAGTACTTATTATAACACGAATTTGAAGAACTAAAACGCATGTCTTCCCTCACTGATCTGATCTGTCTCTTCATGCTTTGGAGCTTGACTTCAAAGATTCATCCTGGAAGACGACCAATAATTACCTTAATGTCCAAATTTCAGAATGGGGAAAAAAGAATAAAATATAAATATAAATATAAATAATTAGTAGGCAAGTCTTTGCAAAGCAGAATGAGCGATAATAAATGAAGATTAATATGATTATTTTAAATATAATTGATTATGTTATGTGTTATAATTTATTTAAAAAATTAATTAATAAGATTAATTTTAAAAAAAATTGAAAGTATAATTGAAAAAAAAAAGAATTGAAAATTAGATAAAACCATGGTTTTGTGAAAATATATTCAACTATTCATTATAAAAAGTGTTTAGATATTTTTAAGAAAACATAATTTTCGATTCATAATTGATTTTTAACATATAACATTTTTGAATGTATTTTTATAAAACTATGGTTTTGACCTCTAAAATTGATTATAGAGGTTATCCAACCATGCACTTATTCATAAATGTGTTATGAAACGTAATACAAATCAAAGGGTGAATCACAGTCAAACTAAAATGACATGTAACCCCATTTTTCTACCATACATGCTTCATATCAGTTGGCTAATTTACAACAGAAGCTCTATTTTGCTAACGGAGCATTTACTATATCTGACTAACGGCTGATAAACTAGAGGAAGGTTGAGAAATGAGAAGGAAGAAAGGAGGTACATGGTGTTCAAGAGATGGAGGATTTGGAAGTCAATGACAATTGATGATTAGGAGATTTATGAAAATATTAAAAGTCAAACATCAATTCAAGTCTACTCACACAAACCTAACAATCTCCCCCTCAAGTATAAGTTTACAAACTCCGCATATCAAAGACGCTTCAAATATTAAGTCCTTACAAGGCCAGTCCCATTTTAGGCTAGACGTGTGCACAATATAAGCTTCCAATGGGGAGAGAGAATAAATGGACAAGCATAGAGAAAGAACACAACATCTTAACTCAAAACCTTAATATTCAAGTTTATAAATCCATGAACTTTATCATATATTGCTTACTAAGCTCAACTTTATCTAATGTAAGCTTCCCATATCAGTTCAAGCCCACTCACACTTGTACAACCTAATAATCTCCTCCTCAAGTGTAAGTTCACAAGTTTTTGGTTGGAAGAAAATCGAGGAGAGAGGAAGGGAAGATTTTCACAAGTTTGATTTCAAAAAATTGGAGAATTAAGGTTAAAAGCTTTTAATTAATTTTTCTTACTCTTTTATCTTTCACTTACTTTTCATTAAAATTTTAAAACCCCACTTATCCATTTTTTTAAATCTTACTCATTAAAATCTCCCCTTCATTCCCCTTCAACCAAACAGGAGGTCAGATGACTCAACAGGTAAGATTGATTTTCAGAATATGAGTCAAGATATGCATACAAATTATCCTACATGGGTTTCACCCCCTATTCAACTTACAATATCAAACACATTGAAGTGAGAAATAAGGCAAGAGAATTTGGCTTCCTAGGTATGTGGGATTAAGGAGTATTACCATTCAGATCAGATAAGAGGTAGATAGTTGGCCTGTTCGAGGATGTGTCTGTCTAGTTCTATCTTGAGGACAAGCGTGGAAATAATAAGACTGGGATTCAGAGCAGACTAGTTTATGAGCGTAAAGAGGTTTCTAAAAAGATTGAATTACTAAAGGCTAACTGGTCACTACAAACATTTAACTAAAGGGCCACTTTGTTTAAGACTAAAAATAAAAATGATTTTAGTTAGGCTAAACACGAGAAAGTTGTTGGTAGTATGAGACAATTTAAGCTAAACACATAAGGAATGTGTTAGAAAAAGCTTATTAAAATAAGCTATTTGAAATAGCTTATCCAAAAACCTAAAAATGGATTTTTCCCCCAGCAAAACCTTCATGATTTTAAATATTCTCCCAACAATCCAAATGTTAAACTTAACTAAAATCATTTTTCCCTTTAATTTTAAACAAACTGGCATTAAGAAACATTAGTCAACTCAGTCACTTGGAGTGGAGTGGAGTGCATTTTCCCAGAACATGAGAGCAAGTTTAATCAGCCCCTAAACATAAGGCATAAGCATGAATCAATTACCTTAACACAAATATAAATATAATGGACATCCGGATTCTTTCCAAGTTCTTGCTCCACTGAGCTTCCATCATCATTGAGTGGGACAGGAGTGGTCAGCTCCCAAAATGTACCATTAGCGTTTTCTTCTGATGCAAGTTTTTCTGCACATAGAATGAAAGTGGGTTTCCAGGTTTAATAAATTTTTGAACTTTGAAAGGCAAGATTAGAGATACAACAACAACAAGCATTATCCCATTAAGTAGACTCAGCTACAAGATTGGAGATACATGCTATTTTCAAGGGTAGTAACTTGTGAAGAAATATATGAATTTGAATAGAACTATAATGGGCCTTGGGCGTTGCACGAAGCCCAAAATGAACTGCATTATTCATGAGATTTAAAAAGAGTACCTTCCATAGCTTTTATATTTTATATTGACGAGAGGAGCAGAACACAAACAACCAACAGCCAAGTGACAATCATTTCAACATGCAACAACCAGCCTTATCCCACTAAGTAGAGTCGGCTACAAGGATTGCATGACGCAATTATGTACTATCAGCAGCCAAGCCTTTGGAATCATTTCAGTATATAATCACCAAAAAATTGTTCAATATATAGCCCCAACCCTCAATAACAAGAATCTACCTTGTCGTTTAAATACTTATATGCAATTTATGTTTGCCCTACTTCTGAATCTCCAAATAATTTAAGAGGCAGGTATAAACAATGGAAGTGAAATCATTATCAACTAAAAGCCTAGGAATAGCATGTCTCACGCATACAATAACAGGCAAATAAAACTCAGATTAGCAAATAACAGGACCAGATTTCAATCGACCTATCACATGAAGCTTTATATTCCATAAGCATGAATCTCTAAGCAAACGTAGGCGATATAATGGAGCTCCATAGGTTACCTGCAGCATGTACAAGCAGTCAAGGCTGATCAAGAAGAATGCAGAACACATTTCATCTTCAGTTTTGAAGTAAGTCAAGTTAATCATGGAGAATTAAACACACATTAAAACAATATGGTATAATTACCAGGATATAAACTCCTTTATCCTTGAGAACCCTATAGTGTGTCATCAACTGCTTCAATAATGGTGAATAGATCAAGAATAGAAAAATGTAAAATTAAACATCTCTGAAGAGTTCTACTTATTTGTTCATGGTTTTATTATACCTCCAAACCTCTTCAAGCATCATAGTGGCATTTTGTCTCGAATTATTTCCACACTGCAAAAGTATGCCGTGAGCAATAATTTTCCTCAAAAATTTAAGTTGTACAACAAGCAATACTCACCAAGAGAGAATCAAGAGTTCCTGAAACAAAATGCTAAACAATATCAGCTTGTTGCTTACTGTCCAATATGAAAAGCCCAAAAAAAAAAAAAAAAAAACAAACAACAACAACAAGAACAACAAGAAGCCTTTATCCCACTAGGTGGGGTCGGCTACATGGATTGCAAGACGCCATTGTGCTCTATCATTTATCAAGCTTTTAGGAATATTATTAATTAAGAGATCGCGTTCAACAACTTCCAAGAGTGTTCTCTTAGACCTTCCTCTACCTCTCTTAATCGGACTTAAAGTTATATGTTCCGCTCTTCTCACTGGTACCTCTCTTGGTCTTCTTTGTACATGCCCAAACCATCTCAACCGATTTTCTACCATTTTTTCCTCAATAGGTGCCACCCTCACTTTTTCGCATACGTACTCATTTCAAATTTTATCTTTACGTGTATGTCCGCACATCCATCGTAACATTCTCATCTCTGCTACTCCAACTTTATGCTCTTGCTGTCCCGTTAGAGCCCAACATTCACTACTATATAACATTGCCGGTCTGATAGCAGTGCGATAAAACTTTCCTTTAAGTTTATTAGGCACCTTACGGTCGCAAATAACTCCTTTAGCTTTTCTCCAATTAAACCACCCAGCTTGAATTCTATGTGAAATATCTCCACTGATTTCGCCATCATTTTGAATAATGGCTCCCAAATATCTAAACTTTTCCACTTGAGGTATAATTTGATCTCCCAATTTCATTTCCAAATTATTGTCGAATAGTCCTTTACCAAATTTACAATATAAATATTCCGTCTTACTTCTACTCAAACGAAAACCTTTCGACTCCAATGTCCTCCTCCATAATTCAAGTTTGCAATTAACCTCTTCTCTTGTCTCTGCTATAAGAACTATATCATCCGCGAAGAGCATACATTTCGGAATTTCCTCTTGAATATGTTCCGTCAAAACATTTAAGATCAAGTTGAACAAATAAAGACTCAGAGATGATCCCTGATATAGTCCAATCTTTATAGAAAAATCCTTTGTTTGACCACTAGGCATTCTTATACTAGTTTTTACCCCCTTATACATATCTTGTATGGCTTTAATATAAGCAATCCGTACTCCCTTTTTTTCCAACACTTTCCAAAGCACTTCTCTTGGTATACGGTCATAAGCTTTTTCCAAATCAATAAAAACCATGTGTAGATCTTTATCTTTACAACGATACTTTTCCATTAATCCCCTTAGTAGATAAATCGCCTCTGTAGTTGATCTACCTGGCATAAAACTAAATTGATTCTCAGAAATACTTGTCTCCAATCTCAACCTGTGCTCAATTACTTTCTCCCACAATTTCATTGTGTGGCTCATGAGTTTAATCCCTCTATAGTTAGTACAATTCTGAATATCTCCTTTATTTTTATAAATAGGAATTAATGTACTTCTCCTCCACTCATCAGGCATTTTCTTGGACTGTAAAATCACATTAAATAACTTAGTTAACTATCTCACCCCTTCTTCACCTAAACATTTCCACGCTTCGATAGATATACAATCAGGTCCGTTGGCTCTACCATTTGCCATTTTCTTAAGAGCTTCCTTTACCTCCTTATCACGTATTATTCGATAGAATGACAAATTTTGTTCTCCTTCACCAGTTACTAAATCCTCCAAGTTACTAGATGAATCCTCTCCATCATTGAAAAGTTTAGAAAAGTAAGTCTCCCATCTATTTTTAATTGCATCATCTGTAACTAAAATTCTTCCCTCTTCATCCTTAATACACCTTACTTGTTCTAGATCTCTTGATTTTCTTTCCTTACTCTTGGCAATCTTATAAATATTTCGCTCTCCTTCCTTCGTCTCAAGGCTCTAATAAAATTCTTCAAAAGCTTTAGAACGAGCTTCACCCACAGCTTTCTTAGTTTCCTTCTTAGCCATACGGTACCTCTCCCAATTTTCTTCATTGTTACACAAATGTATGGCTTTAAAACAATTCTTCTTATACTTGATTTTGTCCTGTACACTATTATTCCACCACCAAGACTCCTTATCTCTCGGACCAGAACCTTTTGATTCTCCCAAAACTACTTTTGCAACCTCCCGTATTTTTTTAGCCATATCCTCCCATATGATGTTAGCACTTCCCTGAGATTCCCAAATTCCTTTAACCAAAAGAGAGAGAGAAAAAAGAACAGTAGCATACCTTTGTCAATTACAGTGCCAAAGGAATCTGATTCAAATTCACTCATATTTCGGACATCCATTTGCATATCTAACTAGTTGATAAAGAAAGTTCAAACTGAACATAACAGGTCAGTGATGGAAATTTAAACCCATACACTAGTTATATTTGTGGATTCATAACAGGAATAAGGAACACCACAAAGCAAATAATCATTTTTGACAATCATGACCTGTAGCCAATACCAATATACAATGTGATTGTATGTTAATTTATACACTTACTTCCTTCGGTCCTAAATGTAGGCGCTAGTTAGGGAGTTTGCTTTTTGTCCTAAATGTAAGACCCCAATCTCCTTTGTCTCCCATTTTTATTATTTTTTTCTACAACCACACTAAAGTTAGATTCTTTTTTTTTTTTGGGGTAAATACTAAAGTTAGATTCTTATATGATGTATAAGCTATGTTGATAATACTCTAATTTAAATTATTAAAAAGAGAGGTGTTTTAAGAAACCAACACACGGTTTTTACAAATAACTAACTCATACCAGCTACTCCCTCAGAGAACGAATAAAGAACACACCAAAATTCCCATGTGACTCTATTATGTAAGCACAGGCATAAGCCCAGTCATAATACCAAAATCAAATCAGTATGAAATAAGGATACATTTCAACTGGGAACGATCACGGTATTTGTTCTGCATAGCTTCAATCACCACCGAGGATATATCAATGTTGACAACATCTTCGTAACCATCGTCAACCATGCCTTCGCTAAATGCTGTAAATGAACAATCCAAACAAAATTAGATTTTTTGTGTTGGGCTGGGAAGCAGCTCGATCCACATGAAATAGAATCAAATTAGCCATTTTGACAAGGTCACTTCTGCTTTCTTTCTTTCTCATTACTTTTGGTTTTGAAAATGAAAGGAAGGAAGGAAGGAAGAAATTGTTTGCAGAGATGGACGTGCCGTGCATTCTTCCTAAGGCGATGAACAACATAATTTCGAAAACCTTCCTTCTATGTTCAACATTTTTAAGATATCTCTTCTAGATTGTAAATCCAAGTAAACAAAATGTAAACGTTTCACGTCACAACAGAGACATTACGTAGCTTATTTCCAGATCTGAGACAAGCATACATACCGGAATTGCCGCAACCGACGACGAGGATCCGGTGGTTGCGAGGGACATAGAGATTCATGATGGGAGCTAAGGTTTGATACTTTTGGTACCAATCGAAGGGACCGGGTTCATTGGAATAGCGATTGTCCCAGTACCAGGTTTCACCGTATGCTTGTGTCGCCGATGTGGTCGTCGTCGTCGTCGTCATTGTTGATAGGATCTTGGAACTTGGAAGACGGAGGAGCTTGTTCAGCACCAAACTGGAAGGATCAAGGCCTAACTTCAAAATCTCCGCTTCGTGGGGTTGTAATTTTGATCTGTAGAACAACCATAATAACTGCAAAGCTAGCCGATTCCTAAATCTTCGATCTAGAACTCGGCCGTTCGTTTTGTTTTGTTTGTTTTGTTTTTGGGTCAACTTGTTTTTAGTGTCTTTACTTTTTGGGCTCTATAATATTCTGACTTCTCGGGCCGAAAATGAAACTTATTGGGCTTCCCAATTTAATTTTTGTATCTCATGTTTAAGCCCAGGATTATTTTCAGTTAAAGTGTATTATTTTTTGAAAAAAATTAATCTACATGTTCTTATAGTTTTACTTAATTTTTAAATTATATCTCTGTAATTTATTTTATTTTAATAAAACTATTACAACTTGATATAAAAGTGTATTCTTTACCCAAAAAAAAAAGAAATAAAAGTGTATTAGACTTAATGATAAAGAATAAAGTGATCTTTTGGCTAACAAAGAATAAAGTGATTGGCATGGAATAATCCATTGTTTAGAAGTTATTATTGATGGGATGATGAGTTTCAAGAGCCCTCATTTTTGTCCAAAATGTGATTTTTTTTGTTCCTCCAAATTACAAAACTTAATTAAAATGAATTAAATTGAAAGAAAAATTATGTTTATTTTATTGAGTTAAAAATAATAATATTATATGTGAAATAAAAATGACATGTAATTATGTATTTTTTATTATTTTATATTTATTGATATGAAATCATATAAAATTAAAGGGTTAATATGCAATGTGAACCTTGAACAATAAATTCAAGGGCGATTTAAATCCTAAACTTTTAAAAAGTATATTCTAAACTCTAAACAATTAAAGTTGGGGCAATTTCGCTTTTACCGTTAAATTTAGACAAACGACTGTCAAATTAAAACTTAATATGTAATTTTCACCAAATGAGGGTAAAAAAAAAGGAAAAAGTAGAATTTGATAAAAATCGCACACTAGACCCCAATTTAACGAACGTTTGCTGAAATTTAATGGTAAGGGCAAAGTTGCCCTAACTTTAATTGTTTAGAGTTTATAATGCATTTTTAAAAGTTTAAGATAGAAATTATCCCTGAACCTACTCCCTCCTATTCTATTTATAAGTCACATTATAAAAGATTCATTTGATTCTATTTATAAATTACAGTGCGGTTTTTAGGTAATATTTGAAAAAAATTTTTTAAATTACCTTTCATAAGAGAAAAATTGTAACATAACATTACTTTTTAAATTTATTATATAGGGGCATATTTAGAATTCTACACACTTTTATTTCTTGTACTTTTTTTTTGCATTAATATTGATGATGTTGGTAGAAATGACTTATAAAGAGAATCGGATGAGCATAGTTCAGGGTTCAAATTATATATTAACTCAAAATTAAATCATTCATCCCTGCTAGTTCACTGTTTATTTAAGTAATAGTGAATTGTGAATTATCTGTTTCTTTTTAAAATATCAATATTTTCTACAATACTAAAAATTGTTTATAGTATTCTTTAAGGTGTTAAATTATAAGAATTTTACGTCATTACTTAATTCAATAAGAAATTTAAAACTTATTTACTTTGTTAAAAAATTAATTTTATCCTTAGTTAAACACGCATGATATAAATTTTAAAAATAAATAAATATTTAATAACATAATATGAGAAAAAGGTAATAAATCTCTCACACGATACCTTACAAAAACCACCAACCAGTTGCCCTGTTAAGAATACCAAAACGAGTATTACCTTGTGACAATAATATTGTGTCTTTATATATGTACACCCTTTGACCATTATTATTATCTAATAAAGTGTTATATAAAAGTATAGAATAATTTACATTTTCGTTCCTTTTTTCATTAGCGATTTCATAAATTATGAAAGGTGGTTTTATATTATAATAGATTTTTAAAATATCTGGCCAAAATAAATTTATCCTTAAACATATTTATAATTAATAGGAAAAAATTAAAATCTTAATGACATTCTTTTCATAAATTTAACTACGTAATAATGTACAAAAATATTGGAAACTTGCAACAACAGAGGATTATGGGGCCGTTTATTTTTTTTTTTTTAAATGAAAAAATCATTTGTTACTTTGAAGAATTTCTATTTAGTACATGATAAAGAATGTTTTAAAGATGGGTGCACAAAAATATCATAAAATAATTTAATGTGATCATGTGTGGCAACACAGTTAGCATCCAAGAGTTGTGGGATTGTAAGCTCCAACTTATTAATTAATAATTACCCCTCACCACAGACTCTTCCAAAAATAGAAAATCAATTAAAAGGTATCTCAATTCCAAAAAAGATTTGCCAAGACGTAACAGGATTCCAAGTCTCAACACATTCAAATGTAAACTAAATTAAATTAATGAAATCAGAGTATTAAAGTTGGCAGAAAGCACATGATCATTTAGTAATATCGACACTCAATATGCTATGAGTAGATAAAACATCATGCATTTGCTAATCCATACGTTATACCTGATTGTTCATAGTCTATGCCATAATACATGCTGTCAATTAATCATCAGATAATATTTTTCAAACCTTAATAGGTCATGAGCCCATCATGTCTTAAGGGAATGAACACAAGATTCTTGACATGATCTATTGTGGTACTCACTTTTACTTAACCACATTAACTCCGAAATATGAAGTAATCATTAGACTAATCCATTAGATTATCAAGTTTGTATTTATAAAAATGGGATTTCAAGTTTTCATAATTCTAATTATTTAAACATAATTTAGCAAACTTCAAGCCAAAGTAAAATATTATATTAGAAGCACAAGATATATTATGGAGTGAAAAGACTCAAATTCAATTAAAAACATCAGGGAATGGAAAACAGGGTGACGTGCCGTGGTATGTGCACATGCACCGTGGCTATCATTCTCTATGCCACATGCCACAATGCAGGTGCCATGCACTGTGGCATGTTGCACATATAAACAATGTTTTGCTGTCAAATAATAACAACTCGGAGTGATTTCTAACGCACCCCATTTCTCTGGGTGACGTTTGAATGAGGTGATCTAAGTCTCTACAAGAGGGTTTATTTTTTTTTTACAAACTAGCTAA